TTTTGTTGTCGACCTCCGGTTTGCAACAGCAACGTCTCCCGCTTGACACCTTCGCACAATTTGTTTCAAAAGCGCGCTATCTCTCGGAACTTCTTCATAATGTATTCAGGAATCGCGCTCTCGCGAGGCACTTCGTCGCAATGTATTCAAACGCCGCGCCCTCGACGCTCAGGAATCGCGCTCTCGATTTTGTTTTTCTCGCGAATGATTTGGGAATCGCGCTATTGCTCGGAGACTTTCTCGCGATTCAAGCAGGACTCACGCTTCAGCAACCTGCCTACTCAACCTGGCCGCCTGGGCACGCCTTCCCGACCCGCCCGTTAGGATCTACCCGCCCGATCAGCCCGTCAGGTTCTGCCACGTGTTTTCCGTTCTTAGCCCCCCTCCTGCTAATCTCTCTCGTCCTCCAGTTTTACCCCTCCCCCTTGCTTCGTTCCTTTCTTCCCTCGGGATATACGTGTTGAGTGGTACGCGAGCAGGTCAGCGCGAGCAGTCTCCAAGTGATTGTTATTGTTGTCGTCGTCTTCGCCCGCGACCCGCCCGCGACCCACCCCGTGACCCAGCCCGCGACCCACCCCGCGACCCACCTGCGACCCACCCGCGACCCATCCGCGACCCACCCGCGACCCACCCGCGGACCACCCACACTGTTTGACGAATATCCGGCGACTGCCGCGGACTCTGCGTGCAAGGTACTAAAATCGGCGCCTGCCGCGGGCTTCTTCGGAGCTTCGCAGACTGCCAGCGAACTCGCCGCCCCCTCACTCTTATCCGCAAGTGCGGGGTGCTACGTAGGATTTGAGAAAATCCAGCCTGCCAGCATCTAATAGAGCATGCGTTCAGGCACCCTCTGATCACACCATCTTCCCGTGTGTTTGGGCGGCGCTCAAAGAATATGTGCTGGTGCGCTGGAGCTCTGGACGCAACGTCGCCCAACATTTCAAACGTACGATGAAAGACGATACAAAAAAGGAAAACACAACCAAACAAGTAAGTACAAAAGATAGAGAAAAAAGAGACCGCTTGTGGCCGTTGGTTTGTCTCATGGCGATCCGCTCCAGCGGACAGCTGCGCATAGCTCCAATCTTGCAGCACCATGATCGCCACGGGTCGCGCGCCCTGCGCGGGGCAACCTCTCCGGAGGCTGCGCGCAGGTCCGTTGCGAGTCCCTGGCGCTGCAGGCTTGGGTGTGGGGCCCGCGCGCCCCCACATCGAGGGGGAAGAGAACTATGCACCTGCACCGATCCTGGTAAGGCTTATCTCTTTGACCCAGGATCGGTGCACATGTTGTCCTGGCCACGGCAGGAGGGCGTACAGGGTCCGGCTTGAATAAGGAACACCTATTTTTCCAAAGGGGCTAGGTCGTTCCTTTGGTTTGCATGCGTTCCGCTACTTTTGTGGCGGCGAGTCCCCCTGGTGTTCCTTCGGACTTCCTAGACGCGCTTGGGAAGAACGGGGCTTCGTTTCTTATTCATCGTTCCTTAGGCCAGGCCGAATACTGTGTGCACCGATCCTGGGCTCAGGATGGGCCCGGCCAGAATCGGTGTATGTGCATAGCTCTCTTTCCTCTACACATTCCCTTTCCTCCGCGGCCGCCTCCCTGGCACCAGTTTGTGTTGCCTGGCATCGCTTGGACGTGTGCATTTTTCCTTAGACGAGGGCCATCGAGGAGCATCCCTGATCATTTGGCGACAAAACCACGCACGACCCCCCCCCCTCCAAAAAAAACATCGGAAATGGACGTCCAAGCGATGGCCAGGTTGTCGCCCGGCCGCGATCAGCGGAGAAGTGGCCAAAAGCATCACCGAGATGGCAATCGAGAACGTGGCGTAATCGAACTTGCAATCGACATGCTCATTTCGGCCTGGTTTCGAACCACGAATTCCGGTCACACTTGGGCGCGTTCTGCAGAATTCGGGCGCGATGTTCGGTCACATTCGGTGGAATTTTCACGCGCAGCGTCGGTCACTACACCCCCCTGAAAAGGACGAGGCTGCGTGAAATTTGTTTTTTCGCAACCCGATTCATCCCTACCGGCTTATGCGCTCGCCGAGGCCGCGACCAATAAGTGAAGCCCGCTTGAGGCTCCAGGCTCGAATCGATGCTTGACATCTGCGGTCGTGTCGTCTGCGATCCGTCGCACATTGTCTGCTGCGCGCGTGGTGCTCACCACGTTTAGGAGTTGGCCTGCTTCTCCTGCATGTGGTCGCGCGCAGTGTTCGCGCATCTCTGTCGCTTTCCGGATGGTGTCTCGATGTAGGGGACAGGAACACGACCGTGAACCTTGGTTAGCAACTGCCACATTATCCGGGGTACGGTAGCGGACGTGAGCGTTCAAGAAAATATATACATTATGTTTTGGGCGGAGGACCTCGCTCTTTTTTGAGCACTCTGACGCTTTTAACATTCGCCCCTCCTTGGGATGCCAGGGGGGATTTCCGTGGCGTGTCCGCGGGGTTGGCTGCGGGGGGGGGGGTCGTTTCTCGCTATGTGCCTGGGGTGGGTGGGTTGGCATACAGGTGGGGGTTGGTGTTGGGATGCGGCATGCAGGGGGGGTTGGCCTGAGGATGTCCGAACGGGTGCGTGTGTTGGAGGGGGGTGCGTGTGGGGGGGAGGTCGAAACCCGCAACGCGCGCGCGCGCGCCCCTGCTGCAGGCCATGCTGTCCCCCCAGTGCCGATTATTTGTGGTGCCGCACTGGTGTCCTGGTCCGGTGGTGCGGTCGGGATTTTGGGGATGGCGTGTCGCTCCGCCCGTTCTGGCCCACCACGCTTCGGTGCGACACGTTATCCACTTCACGGCCCCCAAGCGTCAATGTCCCGATCTTTCCCCGGCCTCCCGCCCCGCGGAGCGTTGCGACACGCCGTCCGCTTGCGTGGCATAGCGTGTCGCTGGGGCCGCCTGGGCGACATGCTATTCATATGTTCCCGACCGTAAACACGTGCGAAACAAAAGTAAGGCTAATGTGAATTAGTTGCGATTCCCGTTGTGAACAGTCGCGCGCAGCTTGAACTCATTCAACATTTACAGAGTAATGTAGCGGTGGTCGGAGATATCCATAGCCGTGGGGTAAGGGGGGCCAGTCAGTGATTGGGCCCCGAAGGCCAAGAAATTAATCCCAAACCTGGATAGCAGGACGCCGAGAGTGCGTGGAGAGGCCTGTCGGTCTGGGAGGACCTGGAGAGAGCTTCTCAAGGACCTTCTGGAGAGCTTCTGGGCACGCGTATTGGGAAACGCTTAGAGAAAGCCTTTCGCGACACGCTGCGAACTCGCAGGAGCCGCGCCAATTCTTCCTGCCGGAAGCCGGAACGACCTCCAGGGCTACCCTGCGGCTCCAGCTTCTGAATATGAAAACCTCTTAGCTCTCAGAGAGCTATCCGGGAATTGAACCAAGCCTGTTGTAGTTGGTGTTTCTTTCCGTGACGGCAATTCCGGTTCGCGGGATGGGCCGAGGGGGGCGTTCTTTGGTACACACTAAAAGCCAGGTCCCACACAAAGCCCAGTCCCGCCAGCGCTTGCCGCGGGCTGAACCTATGTCGTCCAAATCTGAACGAGATGTGGAGCCAACATTGTTCGCGTGGCAATCATATATACCGTTTCACCATGTGGACTGCAAGTGTGGTCCCAGGGCAGAACTAACTAAAGGGAACGGTCGCTTTGGAGTCGCGTGCAAATGCAATGGTCAGTAGTAAAAGGATGAATGAATTTCCAATTGAACATTCAACCAACGCGAGTCTTATTTACAGAGAGATGGCAAAGCCCGAACCAGGAACAACTGTGCATGCACTGCGAATCACAGGGAGGTTTTTACCTAACAGCGAAGACTGATAGGCTTCTAGTGGGGTCAAAAGACAGCATCATGACTCCTCAGGGGGGTCGGGGCGGGACCCGGGGAGGCTGCCGCCGAAGCCGAAATCGCTTGGGACATCCTCGCAAAATCGCTCTTGGTGCTCCCAGAACTCCATTCCCGGGCCACATTTTGGATGCCCGGAGCCAACTGTAGGCCACTTCGTGCTCTTCGACTTCCCAGAACTCCATTCCCGGGCCACTTTGTGGATGCCCGGAGCCAACTGTAGGCCACTTCGTGCTCTTCGACTTCCCAGAACTCCATTCCCGGGCCACATTTTGGATGCCCGGAGCCAACTGCAGGCCACTTCGTGCGCTTCGAGTTCCCAGAACTCCATTCCTGGGCATGATTTTGAATGCCCGGAGCCAACTGTAGGCCACTTCGTGTTCTTCTAGTTCCCAGAACTACATTCCTGGGCCACATTTTGAATGCTGAGGCAGGCTGATGCTGCGGCCGAGGCAGGCTGAGGCTGAGGCAGGCTGAGGCTGAGGCCGAGGCTGAAGGCAGACTGAGGCTGAGGCTGAAGCAGACTGAGGCTGAGGCTGAGGCAGGCTGAGGCTGAGGCTGAGGCAGGCTGATGCTGAGGCAGGCTGAGGCTGAGGCTGAGGCTGATGCAGGCTGAGGCTGAGGCAGGCTGAGGCTGAGGCCGAGGCTGAAGGCAGACTGAGGCTGAGGCTGAAGCAGGCTGAGGCTGAGGCTGAGGCAGGCTGAGGCTGAGGCAGGCTGAGGCTGAGGCTGAGGCAGGCTGAGGCTGAGGCTGTGACTGCGACTGCCGTTGCCGCTGCGACTGTCATCGCGAATGCGACTACGACTGCGAGAACAGCAGAATTCTACAACTGGATTTTCATCTGAATCTTAAGGGGAATGCTTTCAGATATGCTTCTACACATCGCTGTTAGGTTGCTTTGCCGGGATAATTTTCAAGAAGTGTGCATTATTCGGAGATGCACCAAGTGCAAGTTGACTTTACATCAGTTTCGAATCACATTCCGATCTGATTTGGTTGACATCCGATCTGCGTGTTCATTCCGCAGTGCATGTGCCGTACCGCATCTGAGCTTGTATGAAGCAGATTTGAAGGGCATGTCGTGGGACTGGGATCGCGCAGTCCCAGTTGCGACACATGCGTCATCAGTTGTGCCTGCAAAGGGGAGGCATCGATGAATTCCGAGAAGCGCGTTGTCACGATCACAAATCGCACTTCTCAGAAGGTCTTGCCAGAGACAGCAAAGATCGACAGGGGCCGCTTAGCTGTCAGGGCACGGTGACTAAGCGGGATGCTCTTCGGTGCAATGACGGCAAGGCACCAGTCATGATTAGCGACGGGAAAATCAAGCACGTTGAAGTGGTTGCAGGGACAGACGGTGTCGGGTTGTTTTGACTGCCGGCGCGCGCAAGTGGGTGGAGTTAGGGGGGCGCCGTTTTACGAAGGCACGGGGGCCTTCTGGAAGGTTGGGCCCGTCTTGGACGCCCTCTGGCTTCCTAAAAAGTTTTCATGGAAGCCTTCGGCCCTCCCGCTATGATGGGCTTGTTTTACACCACCGCCACCATAAGTTGGCGGGGGGAAGGAAGTGGAGGGCGAGGAGGAGGGGGACGAGGAGGAGGAGCAGGATCATTGACCAAACTTCCAGGTCTGCGAGCGGGCCGCCATTTACATTTACTCGGTGGAGCAGAAAGACCGAGGAATTGCTAATGGTGGACACCCATTGTTTGGGGAGCCCCCAACTCACAGCCTGTTGTCGGGGGTTGCTAGATGGGGCCAGCCCGCGCTAGCAATCCCCCAAACGGTTTTCTAGAGGGCTGCATTCTGCGCGCAGCAGTCGCAAACGCCACCGTCTGGGGGGGGGGCGGGGACACCGACGAGCAGGGGCGAAATGTTGCGAAGGGGGGGGGAGGATAGGGTAATGCGGAGGAGGAGGAGGACTACGAGGAGGACGAGGAGGAGGAGGAGGAGGAGGAGGACACCCTCCACGCAAATAAGCCCACCATAGTAGGGGCGGTGCTTTCTGAGCAGGCCCCCGCCTTCTGAGGAGGCTGCCCCTCGCAGCCGAGCTGAAAGCAGGGCGGTGTGCGTCCTGGCCTCTGCGAAGCCCCGGGCGCGCGGATGGAGACCAGAAATTGTTGCAGCGTGCGGCCACCTGGGCGCGGGCGCCGCAGCACGGGGCGGCAGGGCGAGAGAGAGAGGGAGAGAGATGCAGGGAGGGAGGGGGGGGGATCATGCTGGCCAGGGGTCGAGGGAGCGTGATGGAGCAAGGGAGATACAGGGAAATAGGGAGGTAGAGTGATGTATGGAAAAGGAGGGAGAGCCGGGGAAGGAGGGAGAGACAGAGAGAGAGAGAGAGCGAGCGATCTGTTCAGATCGGGTTGCCGAGAGAGATAGCGAGAGAGAGAGAGAGAGAGAGCGTGAGAGAGAAGCCCGCAAGCATCAGAGACTGGCATATACTGACTGAGAGAGTGTCAGCGCGCGAGAGAGGGAAAGAGAGAGAGAGAGAGAGATGAAGATACTGTGAGCGAGAGGGATACATAAAGACAGAGATCGGGAGAGAGAAAGACGAAGAGAGAGGGAGAGGGACAGAGCGAACGCAGGTGGTCGACATAATATGAGCGCACCCCGAAAGATCGCACAGGCCGTGGGAGTGCGTATGTGCCCACAGGAGGGGCAGGCTCGGTCTCCTGAGGGGGGAGGGTTCACCGAGAGCGCAGGAAGGCCTCGCACAAGAGCTGCTGACGGGTAGCTGTCGCAGGGAGCCTCGCACCTGTACCTAGTTGTCTTCTTGGACAAATCGGCCGGGGTGAGGTCAGCGTGGCATGGATGCTGCCTGGTGAGACGCGCATGCCGTGCACGCCGGACGAGAAGTCGCGCTTCTCCGTGTACCCAGCGACCCGCACAGCGGAGTCTGAGTGTAGGGAATGCCGAGCACCGTTGTGTCAGCTTCGATTCCCACAGATCGTGTTTCCTGGCGCCACAGATTATGCCGTCTTCTTGCTCATCCTCGTCCGATTGCCCGTCCCGACTATTCTCTTCGTCCCACTCATGGCAGTCAGCTAAGAAATTGCACGCCTTTGCAGTTCCCCTCTATGAGGATCAGCCGGCTACGAAACTGCAAGCAGTTGAAGTTTCTTCTATTCTTCTGACTTGCGCACTCGACGAGATAATGCAGAGTTTGTGTAGCACGCAGGTATGAGAAAATCGTTTCCCGCTTCAGGCTTCCCCTTCTCCTACTCCTCCTCATCCTCCTCCTCCTTTTTTTCTCCTCCGTCACCCCCTTCCCGTTTTCTTCCTCCTCTCCTTCTTTCCTCCTCCTCATGATCACCTTTCTTTTCTGCATCATCCTCCTCCTCATCACTGTCAGCATCATCGTCATCATCACCGTCATCAGCAGCATCATCATCATCATCATCATCATCATCATCATCATCATCATCATCATCATCATCATCATCATCATCATATCCACCACCATCGTCCTCGCCACCATCACCAGCACCAAATGCAGTATCGTACCCATCGTTCCCACCACCCTCACCAGCATGATCGTCATCACCAGCCGCACGTCCATCATCATCACCAGCAGCATCATCATAACCACTATCACCATTATCACTAGCATGACTCATCGTCGTCATCATCATCATCACAATCATCATCATCATCATCATCATCATCTTCATCATCATCACCATGATCACCATCATCATCATCAGCAGCAGCATCATCACCATCATCATCATCAGCATCATCATCATCACCATGATCACCATCATCATCATCATCATCATCATCATCATCAGCATCATCATCATACCCTTTCACATCCGTGGCCTCTGCTTCCCGCCTCCCTTCTTCCTTCTCCACTCCTGCATCCCCCTTTCCTCCTGCCCCTCCTGTCCTCCTCCTCCTCCTCGTCCTCCTCCTCGTCCTCCTTCTCCACTCCTCCTCATCCGCCTCCTCCTCCTCCTCCTCCTCCTCCTCCTCCTCCTCCTCCTCCTCCCTCCTTCTCCTCCTTCTCCTCCCTCCCTCCCTCCCTTTCTCTGGCTTCTCTCCCCCTGCCGGACCGTGACCACCCTGCACCGCCGGCCCCGCGATCGGCGGTCCTCCGAACTCGAGACCCCGGCCGGCCGATCCCGATCGGGCCACACGAGGAGGGAGGGGGGGGGGAGGGAGGAGGAGAGGGGGGGGGAGGACGAGGAGGAGAGGGGGGGGGGGGAGAGGACGAGGAGGAGAGGGGGGGGGGAGGACGAGGAGAGAGGGGGGGGGGGGAGAGGACGAGAGGAGAGAGGGGGGGGAGGACGAGGAGGAGAGGGGGGGGGGGGGGGGGGGGGGAAGAGGACGAGGAGGAGAGAGGGGGGGGGAGGAGAGGAGGAGAGGGGGGTGGGGGGGAACGAGGAGACGAGGAGGAGAGGGGGGGGGAAACGAGGAGGAGAAGGAAATCCAGACGAAACCAAGTATGCATCATCGATGCTGCCACACATCCTCCCGTCTCAGACCCTTCCCCGTGCGTCCCTGCGAGCGCTGCCTCTCACGACACGAAGCGCCCCCTGGACCGACTGAGCAGCGGTTCTGGGCCTGCCATTCGACGGGGTCCCTCCTTCGGCAAGGAATGGCCTGGTACATGTGTCTCTGGTGCGTACGTTTCTGCCGCGTGGCTGGGAGCGCGAGCAAAATCTGAGCACTCGGGCCGACGGCGAGACCCCCCGTTCGACGAAGGACCACCCCCCCTCCGTGTAGGCCCAGCGGCACAGGTCTGCACATGCTGCCGGGCACTCCGAGGAGGAGGCCGGGCGGCCGTGGCCCCACTCCGAGCGAGCGTCGGCACCTGGACTCGGGCAGCGCTCCTGCACGTGCGGAGGCTGCTGCGGGCCTGCGGGGTCAGCGCCCGCCCGCCATGGATGGCAGCAGTTTGAGGAGGGTCGTCCTCCATGCGTCGCTGCACGGCAGGGAGAATGCGTGCGGCGCCGTGATGAGATTCTACAGGCTTACGCCACATCCGCCGACCCCTTCTTCACGAAGGGAACGGGCCAATTTTTGCGCCGAGGGGCCCTCCTGGGACGCATCTTGGAGGCCTCTTGGGGCCTCTTGGGGCCGTCTTGGGCCGTCTGGGGGCGATCGTCGGTGTCTTTGATCGCTCTTCGACCGTCTGTGACCATATTGAGCTCTCTTGGAGGCCACTTGAAGCGCTCCTGGAGCGCTCTTGGGGCCGTCTTCGGGGCCCTCTCGGGCAATCTTGGGCGCCTCTTGGGCTGTTTTGGGGCTCTCTTGGGCTGCCTTGGAGCTCCCCTGGAGGCTGCTTGGACCGTCTTGGGGCGGTATTTAGGGCCTCTTGGGCCGTCTTGGAGCGTCGGAAAGCCCAAAAAGCGAATTCGTGAAAAATGTACGTTTTACGAAGGGAATGGGCCAATTTTTGCGTCTAGGGACCCTCGTGGGACGCATCTTGGAGGCCTCTTGGGGCCTCTTGGGGACCTCTTGGGCCGTCTTGCCCGTCTTTGAGCCATCTTGGGCGTCTTGGAGCGCTCGTTTGGCGTCTCGGGGCTCCCGTGGGCCGTCTGGAAGGCCTCTTGGGGCCATCTTGGCCCGTCTTGAGGCTTCCTGGGGCCCGGAAAAGCCCCGGCGGCGCTCGCCCCGGCGGCGCTCGTCCCGGGCCCGGGGGGGGCGCTCGTCCCGGGCCCGGGGGGGGCGCTCGTCCCGGGCCCGGGGGGGGCGCTCGTCCCGGGCCCGGGGGGGGCGCTCGTCCCGGGCCCGCTTTGATCGTCGGGTGGGTGTAAGTGCGGTAAGAGCGTTGTATATCCGATGAAATCGTTTCAACGAAGATGTATGTAGGTTCATGCTAGTTGACCTCACATATTCAACATATATAAAATATCGAACTTCGCATTCATCTACTTAACGTTTTGTTAGATAAGTATATTCAACAACATACCATACATACTACTCACAGAACCATCCATCTTATCAACTGAGCTATCGGGTACCACTGCCAAGATATATCGATACATACACCTCAACATACCCAACTTAGTAGCTAAGTCAGCTAAGTCGATGTGGGCTGTCCGATTCGGTTAACCCGAAATTTGCATAACTTTCTATGTTTTGCATGTTTGTTCTTGATATTGCTATGTTTCGGGAAAAAAACACAAAAAACGTTTTAACAACTACAACACAACAGTTTTTCAGGACAGGGCGCCGCAGGTCGACGCGCCGAGCCGCCCTCAGGACGCCTGCGGGGCGCGGAGGGGAAGGGGGGAGAGGGAGAGGGGGGGGGATCAACTATTCTTCAAACTGCCTCCCCTCGGCGGCCATCACCGCCTCCCCTCTCCTCTCCTCGTTGTCGGCGGCCAGCCCGCCCCCGCTCCCTCCTGCCGCCTTCCCTCCCCGAGCCCGCCTTCCTTCTTCGGCGGCATATCCGCCCCTCCCTCCTGCACCTCTCTATCGAAGGGCGGCGCATCCGCCAGCGGCATATCCGCTCTCGCATGCGCTCGTTTTTTCCTTTTTCACGTGATGGCGAGCACATAGCCATCGTCCTGTAGTCGCCGATAAGCCGCCCAGGCTGGCGGGATCAGCTCGGCGGGCATCACGGCGACGTCGCCGCGCGGCCGCCACAGGGACGCGCCTGGGCATGGCGCGCGCACCCATTCCAGGGTCTCCACCAGCAGGTAGCTGGCGGCGCCAGCCTGCGCGCAGCAATGCACGATGTACGCCTCGCCGTCGCCCAGGAGAAAATCCTGAGGGCAGCAACGCCTCGATTTTTGGGGGGGCACACGCATGTGCACCCCTAAATACCAAGGTTGGTTGCGCCGTCTGTCCTGGCTGCCGTACATCTGGCCGTCGATGGACGCCTCTCTGCTGGTCCACGTTTCAGCCCTGCGGAGGGGTTCCTCCTCCTCCTCCTCCTCCTCCTCCTCCTCCTCCTCCTCCTGGCGGCGAGCCGCCTCGGCGGCAAACCGCCTTCCCCTCTCCCAGCCCATCTTCCTCCACAAAGGGCATGCAAGGTTGCGCCCCGAGTGCCCGAACGTACTGTCCAGCTCTGGCGTGCGCCACGCTTTGGCGCGGGAGCGCGGCGCCTCCTTCGCTTCCTCCAGGAAGCAGGCGAGCGTCGCCGTCAAGGCCGACCGCTCGAAATTCTCAGGGTTGTCGATCTCCTGCGACCTGGACCGAAGCAGGTTGTGCTTCCGCTCGAGTACGAAGGCGTCCAACCAGATGCCGTCCTCCGCAGGCTGGTCGGGGACGTGCCACAAATAATGATGCTTCGGCTTGATCAGGGCTGGCCCGTGCGCGGCTTTGTGCAGCGCCAAGGAAATCGAAACGGCCTTGGTCCAGACAGCTATCAAATTCGGCACGGCGCCGATCCTCAGGACGTAGCCGAACCGCCTGCCACCTAAGCGCTCGAGGATGCGCGCGGGCCGACGCGGTGCATCCTCGAACGCGCAGGCCAGCGTTTGCGTTTCAGCTGCGGCCGCATGTCCTTTTGCCCTGCATGTACAATTCGAGCATCTTCGCCATCGCCTCGAACGACCGCGCCGCAGCGTTCGCCATGCCGCTGGGACGCAGCTCTGTGTGCACCCAATGACGAATCAAAGGGAACACGGCCAAGCAATCCGACGCCTTGCCCACGAAGTGCGACGCCTTGCAGGTCGCTTTCTTCCGAGCCACGCTGAACAGAAACGCTGGCGGTTTCCTGCCGCGTCTGCCAGTCCGCCACGCCGAGCAGCGATCCCGCCACGTTCCCCACGCGTCGGGGATGACATCCCTCACCGCCTTGAGGCGCGCAAAGACTTCGACCTGCAAGGTCCCGCCGCTGGCCAGCATGGTATGCATGGGGTCCCTCACGTATGTGCTCGGCGGCGCCACCGTCCGCAACGCCTGGCACGCCACCAGAGAACGGTCATCCAGAGTGATGCCCATTGCCGTCTCCTTCGGGGGCCGGAACATCAGAAGGGAAGGAAGGGGGGGACATCAGAAGGGGATCGATGGAAATGTTTTCCTCCCTGGCTCCAGTCTCTCGATGTTCGCTCTGGTTGTCGTGTCCCGCAGCGACGCCAAATCATCATATTGCTGCAAAAACTCGTCTGACGACAGCGGGTCAAAGCGCGACGAGTCAGCGCACCAGAGAGGCACGAGGTAATCATCGTCGTCGTAGTCTGCAAGACATTCCGCCTGATCCAGCACAACGTTCTTGCATTGCAAGCACGGTCTCAGACCTGCAGCGCCCTTGGTGCAGAATGTCTCTTTTCCAGCCGCCTCGTCTGCAATCAAGCGGTGGAACTTGGCGAAAAAGTGCACGCCGCCGATTGGCGCACCGTGCTCCGACAGACTCTCTGGGCCCAGGAACAGCGCGCGAAGCAATGCCCGCGCCACGGCCGAGCCGCCGATGCTCTTCTTCACGACGACGCGCAAGGTGCCGATCGGCAGCCACGCAACCTCCTTCTGCAAGAAGGATCCGAACTCGAGGAAACTCGCATACACCGCGAGCTGATTCCGACGATTATCTATCTTCAAGGCGTTGCCCACGCCAATGTCGTCGTAGTACAGCAAAAGCCTCCACGGCCGATCGCGCGACACAGGGAAACGGCGCATCGCTTCCCAAAACATTGAACTCCAGAGAGGGCAGTCCGACAGGAGCCTCGGCATCAGCCGATGCGGCAGCGCCACGCTCCATCGGAAAGGCGTGCCGATCTTGGGCTGCAGCCGCACTGCGCTGATGAGATCGGCCACGGATGCCGTCTGCGATCGCTGCATGGCCCGAGCGCTCACGTCTATAGCATCGCCCGCGTCGTCGCCATGGCCAAGCGCAGTCACGATTCGCTCGAGCAAAGCCGCGGACACGCCGCGCAGGGCCAGACACTGTTGCAGTCGAGCCCGCTGCTCCACCTGCTTGTCCACCTGCAGGGCGCGTTTCCCCATTGCGCCGACGCCCGCGCGCGGGAGGGGCGGGGGCGGGGGGCAGCGCGAGGCCCAGCGCGGTTGAGAAAAACGAATTGCAGCCAGAGAGACGGAAGTGGAGGCGGGAATGGATCGCGGGGCGGAGTAGCCGCCGAAGGGCATGGCGGTGTAGCCGCCTGAAGGGTCGGGAGGGGCGGCGTAGCCGCCGAAGAGCGTGGGGGCGAGGGGGCATGGGGGGAGGGGGGAGGGGGGAAGGGGGTGGGTGGGGGAGATTGCGGAGGCGCGAAGTGAGCGTAGCAACGGAACTTGCAAGGGAGATTTCTTTTTCTCGCACGCAATTTCGAGCTTGAGTTTCAAGCTCGGGTTCCAAGCCGCCAGCGCTCGGAGACGGGCGCGGCTGGCGGCTCGAGCTCGGGGCGGGCGCAGCGCGGGACGGGCGCGGCGGCGGCTGGCGGCTCTTAGTGCGGGTGCGCGCGCTGCCTCCAACTCCTCACCCACCTCCTCCTCCTCTCCTCATCCTGCCTCCTCTTCCTCCTTATCCTCCTCTATCGGCCCAGCCGATCGCCGCTCAGCTCTCCTGGTGCGGCTGGCGGCAGAAGAACCGAATGCCGCCTGGGATGTCCTGCACCGTCTGCTTCGACATCTGGCACAGCATCTTGCCGCGCTCCTCGGTGCGGCGCGCCTCCTCCATCATGCGCCGCGCCTTGTCGATGAGCATCTGGCCCTTGATGCCAACGGCGCGTGCATGGCGGCAACGATTGCGCCACTCGATGAAGCGCACCACGATGGTCGCCCAGCTCCACGCACTGCCACCCGTGATGAGCTCGAAGTCATCGACGTCGTACTTGTCCGCGATGCTCGCCATGGCGGCGCAAGACCGCGAAGGGGCACGACCTCGAGCGGCTCCACTTGAGCCACAAAGACTACGGATGAGGGGTGGGACGGTGGCAGATCATGTCATTGGGAAACGCGAGAGAACGGTGCGAGCGCGGTGGGCAGCAAAGGCGGCATCTCCGCCAAATGAAGGCAAGGCGGCATGTCCGCCAAGGGCTTGCGAGAGTGGAAAGGCGGCATCCCCGCCAAACGAAGGGCTGCGGTGGTAACGAGTGGGGTGGCGATGGCAACGAAGAAATGTTTTTTTCAACAACAATAACAATTGTACGAAATCACACACCTCGTCATGAGCGGCCCAACTGCCGCCCCTGCCAAGGAGCTGCTTCGCCTCTGCTTCGTCTCCGACCGCCAATCGATGGGATTCCCAACGGTGTCGCTGGCCTTCGCGAGCCACAGCTCGCGCGGTAGGGTCTCGGGCAGGACGCGCTCGAGCAGGAGGGAGTTATGCAAGCGCTTCGCCTCGCCAAGTGAGGCATCGGAGCGCGATGAGCAGCAAAGGCGGCATCTCCGCCAAATGAAGGCAAGGCGGCATGTCCGCCAAGGGCTTGCGAGAGTGGAAAGGCGGCATCCCCGCCAAACGAAGGGCTGCGGTGGTAACGAGTGGGGTGGCGGTGGAAATGTTGTTTCACCAACAATAACAATTGTACGAAATCACACACCTCGTCAGGAGCGGCCCAACTGCCGCCCCTGCTCACGAGCGGCCCAGCGGCCGCGGCTTATTCGGGTCCTTCTCCACCTTTTTCAGGCCGTACTTCATGATGTACTGGGCCACCATGGGGCGCTCAGGTGCTGTGCTTCTGCGCCTCCTTGAGCATCCCCGCGATGGCCCTCGCCGCCGAGCTCGCATCCTTCTGGATGCTGATGGCCTCGTCCTGCGTGATCGTCAACGCCACGCCGCTGTGCACGCGCTTCTGCGCCACCGCCTTCATGACTGCCACAGACTTCCTCGCCGCCTTCGCGTTCTTCACAGCCCATGACGGCACCTTGTCCGCCTTCTCATGCTCGAGGTACCCGTCCAGCTCTGTCTCGAGCCTCGTTGCGGTGCCGATCCACTTCAGCGCCAGGTTTTTCTCCTGCGTCTCCTTCTTGGCCTGCTCGGCCTTCTCCCTCGCTTCCTGTCGCCTCCGCTCCTTCTCAGCGTCCTTATCCCTGCGGAGCCTTCGGGGTTGTCCGAAAATGACAACACTTCGAGCCGAGCGAAATCAATAACCCGATCCGAACCTGAAGAGTTGAACGGAAACCGAAAACGAATGCGAAGCCCAGGCGACACCCCTGCGTTGAACCCCCAAACGGCCTGCTCTTGCTCCTGTCCTTGCTCTTGCCGCGGCTCTTGCTCCTGCCCTTGCGGCGGCTCTTGCTCCTGTCGCGGTCGCCGCGCGAGCGGCTCCTGCTGCGGTTGGTGTCGCGACGTCTGTCGCGGCGTCTGCTCCTGCTGTCGCGCCTGCCCCTGCTGTCGCGCCTGCTCATGCTGCGCCTCCTCCTCCTGCGGCTGTCAGACCTGCGCCTGCGGCGCCGCCTGGATCTGGACATGTCGCTCTCGTCGCTTCTGTCGCCCTTGTCGCCGCCGTGCTCTGCGACGCCCGTCGAGGCCGCTGCCCGCGGGCCGCTCTGCTTCGCCTGCGTCCTCTTATCGGTGTACAGCTCGTTGCGCACTGCGGCCTCCACTGTCTCGCTCCAGGCCGCCTCCAATTGCGGCCTGTACGTCCACTCCCCGAGATCAGGGTTCCACCTCTTATCCTGCACATTATCTTCAATCTTTTTCGCGTCGAAGCCGTCGTGCGCCCACTTCCTCAGCGGAAGGTACTTGCCACCCTTGCGGACGCGCTCCTCCTCCATCCGTTGGACAGTGATTGAGCTGACCACGAAGGCTTCAATGCGATCGAGGTTCGACAGCCCAGGATCTTCTGCCAGATCCTTGTAGAACTGCTGCTTGAACTCACTCTTCATTTTGGCGAAACACTTTGGCGGCCACTGTCCGAACCTCCGAGAAAGGCGCACCCCGTTCGTGTTGCACGCGTCGCACTGGTAAGTCGACTGGCCCTTCGCCCTGATCCTGTAGTTGCACTCTTTTGCCGTGCGACAGCAGCGGTTGCAACGCACGATGCTATCCTCGATGCCATGCACATCCACGAACTCCCCTACCTGGGGAGCGCCTGCTGGCGGATCGTCCTGAGCTGCCTCCTCCTCCTCCGCCTGCGGCGCTGCCGCCTCGGGCGAGCGCTCCTCATTCTCAACCTTGGCTACCGCGCCCTGCGGTGGAGCCTCTTCCTCCTCAAGCTCACGCTTGGCACTCTCAAGCTCATCCTGTTTACGCCGAGCTCGGAACCAATCTCGTCGCCGCGCTCCTCGGAGCCCGATGCCGCCTCTGACGCTGCGTCGTCCGGCTCTGGTGGCAAAGCCGCTGCGCCCTGAGGAGGCAGTTCTTCGGCGGGAGCTGCGGCTGACGCAGCTTTGCGAGCCGTCCTCAACGCTGCGGGGTGCTTACCTTTGCCCTTGCCTTTGCTTTTCCCGCGCGCCTTCGGCGGCCCTGCGTCGGTCAATGCGAGCGGCGGCACAAGCTGTCCAGTCAGTGTCATCTGCGTCCCCGATAGCTTAGCTTTCCCACGGGGCTTCGCTGCGGGCGCCTTGGTCATCACTCCCTTGTTTTTCGGCCTGGCTGCTCCGAACATCACTGCCAGAGAATGCTGCTGGTGATCTTCAGCGGGCGGCGTCCCCGCCATGGCGGCGTGACCGCCTTGGCACGCGAGAAGCCGCGCGTCGCGCGCGGCCCTGATGCCAAGATGAGCTGGACGCGAAGCGATGACGAAGAAAACGCGCGGTAAGTGAGGCGGGATAGCCGCCAGCGGAATAGCCGCTTCAAAGGTGGAGGGAGGGGTGGAGTGAGGTATGAAGGGGGCGGCATATCCGCCAGCGGACTCGCCGCTTGAGAGGGTGCAGGGGCGCGGCGAGGGAGGCGGATTGGCCGCCAGCGGACTAGCCGCTCGAAGCGTGGCGGACGCACGAGGTGATACGGATACTGAAATGAATTGCGCGCAACATGACAACCACACAAAATTGACATCATGTTATCATATGTTATCATATGTTATCAGGCGTGTGATAACACCATGCTAACACATGATAACACCTGATAACATGTTATCAGGTGTTATCAGGTGTTATCAGGTGTTATCAGGCGCGTGATAACATCTGCTAACATATGCTAACAGCCAACTTTTTTTTGCCAGTGCATGGCGGCGGCGTAGCGGCACGTCCGCCGAGTTAGTTAAGCGGAGCAGCAGGGGCGGAGCGGCGCCCTGCGCTACCGACCGCGGACGGCGCCGCGTGCTTCAAACCGCTGCCTGAGCGGCAGCGAAAAGACGGGCGAGCGCGGAAGCGAGGCGCGCTGCCTGAGCGGCAGCGAAGAGACGGGCGAGCGCGCGCAATCGGGGCGCGCTGCCTGAGCGTCATCATATGCAAGGCGATGGGGGGGTGGGCGGACATGGCGATGCAGCACATCCAGAAAATAGCCGCACTCATTCTTATGCGGATGCAGTTTTCTCCACCCAGCCCTTTTGCCAAATCCCATCCAACCGCCCACCTGTCTTATCCGCCGAAGTTCCCTCACCTTCCTCCCGCTCCGCTCGTCCACTCGCCCCCATATCGCCTTGCATTGGGGGACGGCTACTCGGCCGCCTGCGTGGCCAAAATTCACCTCGGCGTGGCGGCCTTCACGAATTGAGTGCGGATGGAGTGTGTGGGGGTGTCCTAATTTGTTCTGACACAGGGGTGTGGATTGAAATTGCGTTGGAGGAGTGGGAGGGGGGCGTGTAGGGCCGACGCGTCGCGCCGCCTGCGCGAATGAGGCTACTGATGCTGAGGCGACATCAGTGCTGCCAGCCGTGCACCTGCACCTACGAGGTCGCGTTGCGCACCAGCCAGCTCGCGAGCACGTCCTCGCACTCGGCGATGCATTGCTCCTCTTGGCGGAAAGCGTTCACCGCGCGCTCCGCTATCTGGGCGCACATCTGCGTCGCAGTACGCGCGCGGCGCAACGAGTCGAGCACAGCCTGGCACTGGGTGCCGTTGAGCACCACGATGCTATCGGGCGACATCTGGCTGGCCAACGCCGTGGACATCCTCATGCCCGCCGTGGCTGACGAAGCTGCGCCTGACGATCCGCTGCCCTCCGAGAACGCGTCCTTCAGCTGGTGCGAGCGCTCCACGCGGGATTGTGGAGGGATTGGCGCCAGCTCGACCTTCGGCGCCCCCTTGCGCCTTTTGGCGGAGCCCCAGTTGGCCTTCTCCTCCTCCCATTGGCGCCACTCCGCGAGGTCGACTTCCCACGAGTCGGGCTCGAGTGCGACAGCAGCTACCTCCGCTTCGTCCTCGCTCAAGTCGTGGTACGGCGACACGCGAAGGTGGTTCACCAGCTTGTTCCTGGCCGCCTCCACTGTCTCTCCCTGGAACCACTTGCCGCCCCTTTTGCAGCTGCTGCTCTGTGGGCACTTGAAGCCGAACATGACGGTCTTCTCGCCCTGCTGGCCTGCCATGGCGGCAGGGCGAGAAGTGCACGGCTAGCGCAGGGGCGGCGTGGGGCGCGAGCCTGTGCGCGCCTAGATTCGAGCCGATACAGCGTCCCAACAACAAAAACATACATGTGTAAGAGGCGCGGTGGCATCGCACATTTCGGGATGCCAGCAGGCGGCGGCGGCGGTTTAGCCGCCAATGGAGGGCTCAGGGCGGCGTGGCCGCCAATGGGCGGTTTAGCCGCCAATGGGCGGCGTGGCCGCCAATGGAGGCTTCAGGGCGGTTTAGCCGCCAATGGGTGGCTCAGGGAAGGACTGGTGTTTTTTTCCAACCGCATAGAACAAACCCGATGCGCCGATGCTCGTATCTGAACGGCGGTTGTCCGCCAGGCGGGGGGAGGCGGCGCGTCCGCCAAGGAGATAGATCGGCAACGAAGAGAGGGGAGGAGAGATGAGATGAGACGAGGCGGGGAGAGGCGGCGCGTCATGAGCGCGCTATCCGCGCTCGAATTACGGAAGCTATGCACCCCAGCCCGCTTGCAGGTCCACGCGATCACCCTACAAGAAGACATCTCGGCGGGCGGGCGGGCGCGGCTTCGCTGGCGGTGGTGCCATCTTGCTTGTCGGCTGCAGCCGACGCCCTGCCCTCGGCTGCACCATGCTGGGCTCCCCTGCTGGCGGCTGCCTGGTCTTCGGCGGCGGCGGCCCCATGGTCTTCGGCGGCGGAGGCGGAACTGGAGGGTTCATATTGCCAGTCCTCCACGGCGCCTGCTGAGGCATCGTCTTGGGCAAGTTCGGCGCCTTGGGCTCCCGATGCATCAGCTGAGGCTTGGGGACGTGCGCCTCGCGCACCCGCGGCGCTGCCTTGTTGCCGTGCAGCTTCGCGTACATCTCGCGCTTTGCGCCACCTCGGTTCCCCCAGCGCTTCGCATTGGCGCGCCACGCCTGGCCCTGCCACGTCTGCGGCCCGCCCATGGCGGGGCCAGGCGGGCCGCGGTCGCGGAACTTCTTGTAGTCGTACTTCATCTGGTACTCCTTGAGCACGGCGAGCACGGTCTCCGACCGCCAGTCGATGGGATTCCCAACGGGGTCGCTCAGCCAGGCTCGCAGCTGCGCCCTGAACGCCTCCACCGCGCTGGGATGCGCCTCCACCGCCTCGGGGGGCTCTTCCACCACAGGCGTCGCGCCCCGCATGTGCGACGCGAGCTCCTTCACGAGAGCCGAGGGCGGGAAAGGCCGCTGCCGCGGGTCCCGCGGCGGTGACGTCGGCCCCCGCCTGCGCGGCGGCGGCGACGGTGCCCGCGGGTGGCGCGGGCTGCGCGATCGCGCTGGCTGCGCCGCCAACGTGGGCGCGCTGGCTGGCCGACTGCCGCTGGCGGAGGAAGACCGATCCCCTGCGTTGTTGTCCACGCCCGCAAGGTCGGAGAGCAACTGCATCGCTGGCCCGAACATCTCCTGCGCCGAATCGCCAAAACAGTTCGACCGAGAGCGGCCAGCCAGTTTCGCGCGCGATGCGCGCGCCCCTGGCGACCGCACGCGGGGCCACTTGTTTTGGCGATGCAGCTGCCTCCAACGCGTCGAACGCGCTGTCGCTGTCTGCCATGGCCGCGGCCGCAGTGCGAGGCGCCGAGCGCGACGCGGCGGCTGCGGCGCAGCCTCGGCGCGCGGGCCCCAGCCCACGCGTCGGCGCGAAAGGGGGGGGGGGCGACCCCGCGCGGGCTCGCGGGCACCCGCGGGCCGCGGGCTTTTAGAAGGATCTCTGCGGCTTCCTTAATTCTTCTTTTTTGGTTGTTGAACTGCATTTTATCTTGATGTTTATTTTCTCCTTTTTTTCTTTTTATTTACCTAATCGACCATAGTGGTATCTACCATTCTCATTCTTCTTTTTTGCGTTTTTCCGCTTTCTCTCCTTCGATTCTTTTTTCTTTTTGCTATTCTTCTTTCTTGCTATTTATCTCCTGGGGTCTCTTTTCTCTTTTTTTTCTGTAGTAATTCTATTTTTGAACCGAAATGGAATCGGACGCGGAAGCGAGACTTCGGGAGGAGGGGGAGGGGGTTGCCCATGGACCCATTGAAGTCTTGGAGCTCCTCGAGCCCTCGGGGGCCTCTCAGAAGGGCACCGCTGGTTCTTGCGACGGGGTCTCGGGGGAGGGGGCAGAGTGAGGGTGGCATTGGGAACCAGAAATATAAGTGAACTGGTGTCCCTTTGAATGTGCAGGTCTTGGTTCACTTGTTTTCGTCGTTGAACGGGCGGTGGCAACGTCGGTGCCTTCGCGCGCGCCCATGCAATTCTGGGTGAACGCCTTCGCCGTTCGAGCAGTGGGCGTCTCCCCGACGTTAGTTGGCGTGGGATCCAGTGCCTGACAGCGGAGAGGGGGGCGCAGGGACGTGGCGCGGGGGCGCGGAGTGGGCCGAGTCGGGGAGGGGGGCGGCGGCATGTCCGCCTGAAGGGCGGAGGAGCGCAAAGGGGTGGGGCGGGGGCGGCATGTCCGCCACGAGTTGGAAGGCGAGAAGGCTGCGCTACAAGGCGGCATATTCGCCACGAGGCGGCATATCCGCCACGACCTTTTTGTTATCCCGAGGCCGCCCCGTTGGCCTGGAGAGTTGAAGAGTCGTAGCGCGAATTGCTCGCCG